GGGCGAGGCGAACAGACGGGGCCTGAGATGTTATATACCGCAGGGCGTGGGACCCAATGGCTTTTCAAAGTTACCCATACAACATGACAGAGTTACTCTTACAAATACCATCTCCAAATACTGCCAGAGGCTGATGGACATGTTCTTAAAGCACGGTTGTTTCCTTCAGCCAGCACTCTGCCGAAGGAATAATAACTGAAAAGTGGCCATCACTCTGCTTTTCAGCTCACACTCTCAAATGGCAGAAATTACAGGCTTGCTTGGCTCCGGCTGTGGAGACTCGGCTGTAATGTGTAGAGCCGCTCAGCCCCCCACCACGGCCATTCTCCTGCCAATGAATCGGGAACGTTGGAGGGTAGCGGGGCAAGTTTAGGTGACCTCTTTTTAAGCTCTTCCCTTCAGCGTGGTTTCTTCTTTTCTTTTGGGGCGAAATGGCAAAATCATTTGTGTCCCTGACTTCTCACCTCGCACCGGCAACCCGAGTGAGGAGGACACTCTGACCTGTTTGGAAAGAGTGGTCCGGTTCTGGCTCCCGATCGATACCGCCCTAATGTCCGATGCTATTTGAAAAAAATATTGAATTATAACTGTAAATGCGAAATGGTAATTTTTGTCCATTCGCAGTGATCAAGGGAAAAATAATGGATAATTTAAATTGTTTGCGTTAAATAAGCAACAACCCCCTTGGACACACACACACACGCACACACACACACACACATACTGGCTGTTGCATTTTCGCCATTCTTCCTTTCCCCTGGTAGCTTCTGGGTGAAATGATGCCTCACTTGAAGAAAATTGAAATTGAAAATGCAAACATTTTAACACTTTAACATTTTGCAGGGTTCCCTTGAAACCAATTACACACAAGAACCAGAGAACGGCTTCCCGAGGGTGAGAAGTTATTTTCAGAGTAAACAAAACAAACTAAAACTGGGATATTGATTAAAATGTATATGAGTCATTGAGAGTTATATACATGTATTTTTTTAAATGCTAAAATGACACAAAAAGCACAGTTATTGAAACTGACACTGAGCGCAAAACCTCTGCTCAAGTATACAAAAAAAAAAATTAAACACATTTTCTACAATTTGCAATTCAATGTGACACTTTTTTGAAACACACTGCACGTGCACACTACATTAGTTTTGGACAAATCCTTCTCTCTGAAAAAGAAGAAATGTTAAAGATGTACTAAATTCAATTGACGGTTTTTATGAATTATTGTATAGTTTGATGTGTTTTTTGCTTAAAAATCGGAGGTGTTCTGCTGTTGTGTGTCATGTGCGTGTCTGTGTGAATGTGTGTCATCTCGCTGACTAATTGATTTCTCATTTCTAAACTGCTCTTCAGAAATCATAAAAAGATGTGGACGTCAATCATACTTCACCAACAAAATGAATCTTTGAAATTGATATGTGGAATTTGTTCCACTCAACAATTTCACAAAGTGATTAAATTTGTCCGTGGTTGTGTGTTTGTGTATATACTTAACCTTTGTGCCATTAATAAGCAAGCTAAACGAGGAATGATGTATGTGGGAGGGCTCACTGAAAAGAACAAAAAGGAAGAACACATTTCCATGAGATATTCAAATAGCAGCAGTTGTCTCTCGTCACACTTGGCCTGTGCCTCGCCGCTCCCACACGCGGTCTGAGGGTGAATGTGCCGTCGGCTATCTGGCATCGTGTGCATGAAAATCTTTTTGATCATAAACACGCGTGCACCTTTGGCCGAGAGGCCACGGGCGAATTATGAGACGTATTATGTGTCAGCGTGTACTGTGATGTATATCAGTGTGTCTTATTCATCCCTTTCTCTGCACTTTAAGAGTCTCAGTTCTCGCTCCTGCATTCTTCATGTTCTGTGTAGATGTTGTTCATTTCATAACCATTGACTGCATTTTCTAAGAGGAGACACCACAGGCAAAAAACGAATTTGGTCCTAAATACTCATTTAGTGGTTTATTTTCTGAAGTGGTTGATTCACGTGTAGATTTCTTATTAATTCACTGAAAATTACAGCTAGAAAGTGCCTTATTTAAGTACAAACAATGATTTCTTTACAGCCACAGCCTTTTATTTTTCATTGAAGAACTGTCCTTACAGTTCATTTTGTCTGACACATACAAAGTATGATTTTGATTCAACTCAATTCCTGTTCCTTATTTTGGAAAGGCCTGGGTCCAAATCATAATATGTATATGCCATGGGAGGAATCTTAAAACATTTGAAGGGTGGACCACCACTCAAGGTTATGGTACTTTACTTTTAGTATATCACTTTGATGCTGCTCCTCCACGGCGCAAAACGACAAATTGTGCTTTTAACTCTATTCGCTCTTCTGCTTTCATTTGACGGCTCAAGTTACTCTTTTCTTTGAGCATGTTGGTTCGAAGATACAACTGTATTCAGATCCATGCCTTTCAACACAGGGACGAACAAGATTATACAAAAATAACAAAGAAAACAATACATTAAGAACTAATATGTTTCTATGTACTTCGGGTTTGAGTACAGCAGATTGAGTAAGATTCAAGATATGATTAAATATGTTGCATTGTAACGGCTTAAACAAAATGAAGCAAAAATGAGGATACATACAATAAGGAAATCATAGTCTCCTACAAAATTCCATTCCATTCTAAAGAGCAAAATATTTTCTCCCAGATTACTGTCACATTTTGAAAGCGACTCGATTTAGTTATTGTACTTTAACACATTTAATCACTTTCATTGGGATATTTTAAATGCAAGATTGAAATTGAGGATTTCTTTGTTGAAGTACCTGCTGCATTGAGAGGTACTGGCGTCACACGGGTCCTGTACATCAGCCTATGCATGCGAGAGACAGAGATAAATGTAGCTTTTAGCTGCATCCTCCTCTCCCTCGTCTCTCTCCACGTCCACCTCACCCACGGGCCGGTGGTACGGATGTTCCCGTGGCAGAAGACTGCGCCATAATGCATTTGTGAACACTGTAATTTCTCAGAAAGAAAAAAAAAATGCATAAGTCGTTCTGTTTCTCAAAAGACACGGAAAGTTCAGCTGAAAAGGATTGTAAAGGTACAGTGTGAAAATGTCCTATTGTGCTCTGAAATTAGGCTGGATCGAAAAGTTAAAAGCTTTTGTTAAATGCCAAACGCAACCGTCTGAGTACAAGAAAAAATGGTAAAACTATGTATTTCTATTTTCTTCCCATGCTTTGAGTAACCTTTTCTAAATGCCTTTTTTTCTAGAAGTTTGATCAAGTCAGTAAATTTGCTCTATATTTTTCATCCTTTACTGCAAATGCAATTCAAAATGCGTTCAAAGGATGTTGATAATAACAGCAATTGCTCCATTATTTACTGTTCCAAAACAAGGCGTTAAAGAGCCCTACTTTTCCTCTCTGCCTTGTTTCATACATGCTTGAAGCGCTGCACATTAGACCTGCTGTCACAAGAAGCCACTGCTTGCATTTCATTCCCACCCCCTGACTGCTAAAAGGGGGCCAATTTGAACTTTTTAAGGAACTCCATTTTCTTTTAGGGCCGTTGTGCCAAAAGCACACAATTAAGAGCGAGACGTTGGTCTTGTTTCAACTGAAGAAAAAGACGTGGGGAGCGGGAAGAATAGAGACTGTCCACTATGGGCTATACGAAATATATTTAATAAGCACTGTGTCTCCTCGAAGACAAGTTAAAAAAAAATCCTGGCTCTACTTCACGGCCTAATGGTGAAAGCTTGTGTAGCAATTTCTTTGAAAATAGCAGAGCAGCGACGAGAAGATGGTGCATGGTTTCTATTTTGAAATACGCCTGTGCGGGTTATGGTTGTGGCACACAAATACACCTGCATGCACACACACACACACACACAATTCTTTAAGCACACAAACACACCGCTCAGACACTTGCACACACTCACTCACACACTTCTTGAAGCTCTGGCTTAATCAGGTATAGTTGAAAAGGAAAATGCCATTAGATGTTAAAGTGGATAATTTCACCTCTTTCGCTCCATTGATTCCTTAATTTTTCTTTTCAAACTGGCTGGCCTTCTATGCCCACATGTGCTTTTATGGAAAATTACAACATTCAAAACGAGACTCTTTGGTCAGGGATAATTGCAAAAAGAACCATTAGCAGTCTTCCAGGACCAACGCGCTGTGAACGTTTTTCTGTATTTTTCTGCTCTCTTTCCGTAAGAACATGCTTGAGAAGAAAGAGGATAATCATAATTTAATTATCCGTCATTATGGGGTGGCAAGATGCAGGTCACTGGCGTTACGCTTATGCTACCGGCTGTGATAAACAAATAGATTACATGAAGTAGGCTAAACAAACAGGACAGTCATATACAGTGTAGGTCAGCGATTCACAAAGTGTGGCCCGCGGGGGGTCATTTACAATAAATAAATAAAATGTTTTTAATTTTCAATTTTGAAAAGTTTGAAATTAATATCAAAATATTTATGATGCGGCACATTAGTTATGTGAAACATTATTTGATGAGGAACAAACAATTTAAACGAACCGATTATTAAAACAATAAGGCTCTCGCTCGAAACGGCTGCTCTTGTCCGCCTATCGTTATTCAACAAAAGGCACCGCCAAACAAAACAATGTCAAACGGGGCGCCCTCTTGCAGTATTAAAGTAAATATACCGCATTTTCCGCACTCCAAGGCGCACTTAAAAGCCTTTCATTTTCTCAAAAACGACAGTGCCTTATAATCCGCAGCGCCTTATATATGGATCAATTGGTTAATCGGTTGATCCATACTAGTTGTACACGGCGCTCAAGGCGCTCTGCCAAACATGCCAAAGCTCGTCTACGACGGCGAGATGCTGAGCGGCGCTCAAGCGCTTGAGATATGGAGCTGCTTTCAGGGCGCGTCGGAGAAACAAATCTGTCGTTCTCGCCGAGCACTTCATGAGATTAAAGAGCGAGAGACGGTGCCCTTTTCTCTACAGTAGCTCAACCATCTTAACGGGGAAAATAAGTTATTCTAAAAGGGGCCCTTGGCAGGCGGCGCGGCTGGAGAGCAGCCGAAGATTTAAGGCATGGATGGCGGCGGGAGCGGACTCACCTTGCAGCATCGATCGAGCCCTGAAAGCACCGTGACGCTTACGGTCACTCTTGCTCCGCGCGACACAAATAAAGCCGGACATGTGCCACTGACGCGAGACAGAAGTTAGCATCGCTGGCCTTTGCTAAACCGAACTGCCGCGTGCTAACGCAGCCGGACGCAGAGAGCTTCCTGTCGGATTTTTAACAACGAGTAAGTGTCAAATGTCTGAAGTAAAAATCACATGTAGCGGCTCTTTGTTGAGCCAGTGCCGCGTCGTTGGAAGTTCTATCTGCAGCCGAAGACAGCGGTGCGACTATAACACAACTACTAACGGTTATATATTTATATCCGCGCGTCGCTTCCCTCGTCACGTGCAGAACTTAATTACTTACATGTCGTCAGCAGCTGTGGAGAAGCTTTTTTAACTGAGAAAGGCCCTCGTAGTTAAAACACATGTCTGACAGAAAGCCCAGCTCTGCACCCCGGGACATTTAATGAAATGTGCTGTCGCGTTGCATTATGGGAAATGCGTGATCGAGTTGGTAGGGAATTAAAAACAAGTCAAATACGCGAGTGGCTGCAGGTTTCTGCTTCGCTCACCTGCCAAAAAACAAACAAACAGTGGTCATCGATTGAGTGCCTGCAAGATTTCGGGAAAACCATCCACAGTGCATAAAAAGCACATCTCCAACCCAACATTTGGTTGTAAGATTGATAGTTCAGATTCTCATTTCTCTGTACGCTCTAACCTGTTTAACTTGAAAACTGAGCAATTTGACTCCTCTGTCTCCCCTCTCAGTTTCGATAGAAAACCGGGGTAAAAGGACTGCACTATGGTGTAGTCTGTCCCCGTTCTGGCCGCCGGTTTCACCGCCTTCTGAGGAGACGTTTGAGATTGTTCTCCGATCACAGCGATGGACGAAGACACGCCGACCCTGAAGCCCAGGCGGATACAAAATCAAAACGTAGTTCATCGCCTCAAGAGGCGCCGGATCTGTTTGGACCGACCCGGAGCTCACTGGTACAGAGTACGGTGCTTCCACCAGAACCTTTTCCCAAACTTCACTGTGGTCAACGTGGAGAAGCCCCCCTGCTTCCTCAGAAAGTTCTCGCCAGATGGCCGCTGTTTCATTGCCTTCTCCTCTGACCAGACTTCTCTGGAGGTAAGATCCCCTCATGTCAGCTCGCTTTTCCCACTCTACATTGCCGTTAGGCTCTAAATATTATTTATTTATTTTATAAATGGAGGGTGGAGGAACCTGATGGTGTGAAGCCAAATGTCAGGGAGGATTTGAAGGAGGCGATAAGGAAGGGAAGCGGATCAGGTGTGATGCCTGGAGGAGGGGCAAGGTTTAGGGACTTCTAGATATAGAAGACGTTAAGACAGAGCATGGCTGGAGGAGCCGTGATTAAATATCGCGGTTCGACTCGGCAGTGTAAGTGACAAAATCCTCTGGACGTTGAAGAGGGAGGACCAGACAAAGGGGGGAGGGCTGTGAGGCAGGAGAAGATGAAGGGTGGTTTGAGCGAGGCAAAAGGATTAGAATTGGATTTTAGAATCTTGAAAGCTGATGTCGGAAGGGGAAGAGGAGAGATTGAAAGCTAGCGAATACGTTCATCAAACCTGGTTTGTTTCATTTACAACTGGCTCGCAAAAGCCTGGTTCATAGAATATTATATAGCAACTAACGCTGTATAGAGCCGAATAGGTAGGTCTGCAAATATGTGGCACAAGATGAGAGGAAAGTAAACTAAAACTACAAATGTAGGGTGAAACCACAGACAGCGTTGGTTGTCTGTGGCAACACGCAGGACTATAATTTAGCTACGAGAGTTTGAAACAAAGTGATTGGATTAGACACGAAGGTTCCCTCCAAAGCGTTCCCTCCTCTCCGAGGATCCAAACCAGGAGGAGTCTCACTTTGGGATCATAAAAGCGCTTTTGTGGACACAGGGGTTAGAGAGAGAGAGAGCGAGAGAGAGAGCCCATTCACTGGGGAATCTCTGTTGCTCTTTAATGTTGTTGTGCTGAAACACCCCCCCCCCCCACCTGCCCCCCCGTCCCGCTGCTCCTCATATTCAAGGACACCATAGTCAACGCCAATTATGGCGGGCACACCGAGGCGGTGCGGCGGCTGCTGGGTCAGCTGCCCATCAGCGCCCAGTCCTACAGCAGCAGTCCTTACCTCGACCTCTCCCTCTTCAGTTATGATGACAAGTAGGTGTCTGTGATGGAGACCTGCGGAGATCACCCCATCAGGTAGCACTTCCGCGGCGAGCTCACATTCTGCACAGTGCATGATGAATAGTGTGTAATGTAGGTCTGTGCTGAATATAATTGAAGCATAAATGATTACATTCTTTATTCTTTCCGTATATGTAAATCTAGACGCATCTAAAAATATAAAGCGGCGGTACAGCAATTGCATGGCATAATTTTCCTCATCTCAAAGTTAAACCTCCAAAATGATCTATTACTATATTTGTTGTGGTTGTCATCTATAGTTTATTTGCAGGAAACAAGTAATCCAAAATTATAATGAGATAAATTATTTTAGTAGTTTATTTGAATAGTTGCTTAGATGGAAAAAATAAGATCTCAGTGTTTCTCTTTTTAATAATATGTTTCATTTGATGTTAGAGTTAAATGGCTAATAAAAACCCTCCTTAAAATACTGTTACTCTGTTTATTGTCCCATCAAAAAAATGTTTTAGAAGATCTCAGTTGAACATCTCATTGTGTTGAACTGTAAAAATCACCTTTCAAATACAAACTGTTACTGACGCGTGTCGTTGTAAATGCGCACTAGTAAATGCGACCGTCAAAAATTCTGAAATATGCAACTGATCAGCTGAAAACCGGTACGGCAGAAGGGATACTTTGATACCTTCCGCCCCTGGTGACATCCCGATCCCTTATATCAGAGGCTCTTTTTGGGTGCTTCCATGTATACATTTTTTTTCTTTTGTTAAACAACAGATGCATTTGAGTACTTAATTGGATGTTGATCACCATGGCAACAGCCGAAGTCTTACCGTTGAAGTAACACATTCCTCAGTGTGTGCTCATGCGGCCGCTGTGTTGCTTTGGCCACATTTAGGGCCGATAGATGGGGCTGAATGTCCGAGTTGGCCAGCAACATTTTTGAATGCATCAAGGTCCACACTATCCTCCGCGCTGTCACACGATCCTGTGAATTTCACAATAGTAGGATTAATAAAGGAATATCTTATTAGGGTGATGTGATTTTCCCTAAAAGTAGCCAAGAGAACAAGGACATTCTCTTTTGGAGATGCATCTAGAGCTTACGCTACTCATCTACTGGTCCACCGGAGGCGGGACTAAGAAATGACAATATGAAACAACTTGTAGTTCTTATCAAAGACCGAATGAGCAGCGACTAGTAGTGGGAGCATTATGACTCTCATCCTGACCAGAGCTCAGCATCCCATCTGCAAACTGGACTCTTCCATTCAGTCCATTCATAAATGAATGGATTTCATATTCTCGTTGTTTTCTTATTTGATCATGATTTTTGTTTTACGCTTGTTTGCCAGGCATCCGTTTTTTTTCAATACAACAGATGAATGTTGATTACAGCACATGCACGTTTATGAGGTAATCTAACATATCTGTTTTACTGGAAGCTTCTTATCTCAGAGCGTTTGATTTGTTCCGTTTATCTGACACACGGCATATTTTCATCAACACGTGTCAGCTCACTTTCCTTTCTCTCGTCTCTTTAAAGACTGGGCCAACTCTGAATGAGGGATTCAATGGCACTAATTTCTCTCCGTCCCCGTCACCCACCAGGTTTTACGCGCGGGACTCCGGCCTGCTGAAGTTCAAGATCTAGGCCGGGCTGCTGGGGCGGCCGGTAAATCACACCGTGCGGCGCCTGGTCGCATTCACCATCCACCCATTCGAACCCTTCGGCATCTCTGTGCAGCGCACCAACGCCGAGTACGTGGTCAACTTCATGAGGCACGTCTGCGCGTGAGGAGTTCAAACCAAAATTGGACTCAAATTGCAGGAGCGGTGGGCTCCTGTTATTAGCCAACGGTGACGATGCATTCAAACATGTGCTCCATCAGGAGGTACAAAACAGTGGTTCTGTGAGTCGCCTCCTCCTCTGTAGTACATCAGCGGTCCTCTCCCGCTGATGCAAAACCAGTGTTCCTCGCCGCTTTTCCCCCTCCCTCATACAGCGGTCACTCCTCCCCCTCCGCGAGAAGGTAGCAATTCTGCCTCTTTCCTTTCGTCCGCACCGCTTCACCTCTCTCCCCGCTTCCTCCTCAGAACAAAGCAGGTACCTGTAGGGAGGAGAGCATGGAATAAGTGTAAATGGAGACGTAGAGAGAGTGATTGATGTGCGACGGAGGTGGGAAGCAGCAGGCAGCTGGACCTTTCGGAAGAAACCAAAGGTGTTTTCTTTTTCTAGCGTACACTTAAAAGCTGCACATTCATATCAGAATGGCTTGTCCAGTAGGTCCATGAACATCTGTCCAACAAACATCTTTTTTTCTCACATGGATGGGGAAAGAGGTATTTTTATACGATAATGCTTTTACAGGTTTTTACATATTACCACTTGTATATATTTTATGCCAATAAAATGGTCTGTAATTTGCCCATTTTCTTTTTGTCTTTTTTGTCTTTATAGAAGTTTTGGAAAAGGACAAAGATGTTTTGGGAGATTTTTTTTTTTAGCATTTTAGTCAATGCAGTTTCACACTATATGGTCCAATTTAATTTCAAGCTCTTATGAGAGCATTACCCACTGGACGGGATGAAGCTTTGCTAACTTGAAGTCAATTGTGTGCTGTCGTGAAGGTGACTGATTTTCCCATCATACTTTGTCTAATAATTTATATTTTTTTAACCGGCTGTATCACATACCGCCGTATATCTTACCGGAGCCCCATAATGAGCCTGAAACGATGTTACCGTAAAGCTCCAACATGCAGAGCGCAGACAAGATGCAGTGGAAATGTCATCATGTTTCATTTGAATACTGATCCCTGCAGTCTGTCCTGCTGCAGACCATAACGTCCCATCTTATATCACAGTGCATCTGTGTTGCGCACCATCTGTTTAGCTCAAATGTGTTTATTAAAAACCCACGCAGATAATCTACATATATGCAAAATGTGAAAAAACCCACTCCTGACATGAATGCAAGGTCGGCAGTATCACTTAATGAAAAGGGGGGAAAGCGCACACCGCAGCAGCTGCAGGAGGTCAGGGCGGTGTGGAGAGCAGGTGCGGAGGGATTAAATGTTCTCCCAGCCTTGGTTACACACTACAGTGGACCTACGCCGTGTGTGTTTGTGATTATCCGGAGACAGACTGACCGGGGTTCACGGATGAGGAGATGAAACAACCGGCGGGAGGCAGAGAAGTCGGGGATCGATGTTCCGCGCAGTGACCGTAACACGCGACATCATCTTTTTAACTCAGTTTTTTTTTTAGATTTCCAAAGCACATAGCACCTCGCGGACGCGGGCTTAAGCAGGCCGTGTTATGTCACTGTCATTACGGCCTGTTTGCGTAAGCGGCGATAATCAACTAACTAACGCCGCAGGAGGCGCGCGGCGGGCGCTGACATGCGCGCGTGAAGGAGGACTCCGTTGTCCTCGTTCATCGGACACGTGGTCTCCGGGAAACGCGCCGGCGAGCGCTTCCCCCTCTTATGTTCAAGGGTTTGTTTCGTTTGCATGTATCAGCCAATCCGCACTTCCTACCCAGCAGCCGCCCTACGCGAAAACCGGTTCAGGGTGGCTGCCGAGGATAATAGCGTCTACATTTTTTTTTAACTCTAAATGTAAGCCATAAGTAAATGATCATCACCTATTCAATTTCCCCACAGATGTTTAAAAGCCAACAAGGAAGCAGGGCACCCGGGAGTTAAAGTCTGCTGGAGTCTTTGAACGCAAACACAGATAATATATCACCATATGAACCTGATGGCTCCTGGTACTTAGACCAATAACCAATATGTCATTTCTGTCTTATTCCTAAGAATCAGGTAAACCCAGAGCCTTCTCCCTGACCTTGGTTGCTATGGAAACATAACCACTCTCTGCTTGGTAACCAATTCTTTTCTAATTGCTGTTGTCTTGGCAACAGCGCACCCAATGTAATACAGAAAAAGGCCACAATCTTAAGTTTCCTGTTGCAATGCATGCTCGCCTCCTCGGAACGGTCCCACAACACACACCAACATCTGATCATTTAGACATCGGTTGCCACCACAACAGTCACCAAAGCGTAAGCTTTTGGCAAGCAAGATTTTATTTTGAGGACAAAAATGGCAGGGTTGACAATATCCTACCGATATATTTATAATATATTATTTACAGATCTGCCATGTAGAATAAATACATTTCATTTTTTTGTATTCTGTTCAGAGCACCAAATGTCTGGCTGGTCTCAAAAGGAACGTATAATGCCTGCTGCGACACAAAGTACCACAAAAGAAGCCCTCGTAAACCGTTATACCAGGTCCAGTTAGATTCTTCCAAGTGGTGTGCAGCGATTCCCACCCCGAGGTGCTACTGGAGCAGTTGCAAAGGCCCACACAGAAGGATGGTAGGGGAAATGTAAGGAGGGTTCCTCACTTCCAGGGTTGTTGGTTTCATAATGCCCTGTTGTTAGATCTTGAACCCTGTTCTACCTTCTAGTTTTGAAGTCCGTGCAACCTTAAAACATCTGTATTAGAACAGCAACAATCATCTGCTCCCTAAAGCCGTTGACTACCTTGGAAATGTAGGAATAGGTATATGTCTAAAACATCGTCACAATGACAGCTTTCACTGCATTGTCAATCTACTTCAAAACTAATATTTTTTTTGTAATGTTCATCGACTGAATTTTATACAAATTCCCCTCATAAACGCCTTCTCCATCCGACCCTACTTGAAAAGAAATATCATTCATTCTCAGATGGTAGAGCCTCATTCGACTCAGATGATTAGATCACATCAAGGGGCATTAAAATGGTCACCTCACCATGTGGTCACCGCACCATGTGCGAGACTTTTGCTAACTGAACTGAAAGTTCACCCTCTCACATCTGCGTGCATGTAACCTTTGACCTCATGCATAACCGTAACCGCCGCCATTTTGTGGTCATGCCTGGAAATGCGTCATTTTACGAGTGGAAACGGAAATACGTCATTTTGGGGCGTGATTTGTAGGGGGGCGTGCACTGTTTAAGCATAAATACGCCATTTTGACGATGACGTGCGGGGTTTTGATGGAAATTTGCCATTTCAGGGTGTGTTTTATGCGATGGGCGATCACTGTAGGAGGGGTTTCATCATATATATAGATGTGTTATTCGCCTCCACCACCAACGCACTCATTTTGGACTCATCCACTGTTGCTGCTGTTGCTGCTGCTGTTGGTTCCGCTACTATTGCCGTGCACTCGGATTCTTTGCAAAATGCAGGCTGCATATCGCATGGAGCAGGCCCCAGAGACTGACATAGGTATGTCTACAGAAAATAGACCATGCTATGCAGATGTAGATGCTCCCCCGCGCCGGAAAAAGCGTGAGGGATGTCTTTCTAGAGAGCCTGCTGAAGAGCTAGAGCTGGAGGGTGTTTATGGGTACATGTATAATGTTAAATACTATGATGGCACGGTCACGATGATTTCTAGAATCAAGGGCAAGACAAGCTAGGAGGGGGTGTTGGTGAAACAGTTGATGATGAGGCTGTTGTGGGGGGTCGACATGGGTGTATGTCTGTAAAAGACGGGCAGCAGTTTCAATCAATTGTCTGCATAGATCTTGAACAACCAGGTTTTCTAGAATCTCTATACTCTGTTCAGTGGTATAGTACAATAGGGCCTAAAATACAGCATCTCACGGAAGATCGGTACAACAGACGCCCTGACGATTTCATTTTTTTAAATGTTTGTGAAGACAGAGAGTATGTGGTAGCTCAAAGAGGCCGCCGAGGATGGAGAGAGCATCCGTACCCTCTTACCGTTGAAGAGTTTAATATATGGTTCCCCCTCGTGTTCTTTGTTCAGTGGTGTGACTGGCCCGCTCTGCAAAAAGTGTTTAGTCAGATTGACAAAGCTATCCAGAGAGACAGCGTCAGCAAGGCTTACTGGGCTGTTAGAAAACGCCTTGTTTACGACAATACACCGAGCGGTGTGCAACCTGGTATATCTACTACCATGTGTAGACCGAAAATAATTCACCCCTCAACCATCTAAATGAATGACAGGTGGGTTACGCTAATGTTGTGTATATATTTCTGTCACTGATGTTAATTCATGCAGAATAATAAATAATAAAAAAAATTTGCTTAGACTCGGAAATCTCAGGGTCCCAGGCGGGCTGGACTCCTCCCAATTCTCCTTCACCTCCATCTCTGATGGTTCACACCCCACCTCAGACTCCGCCTCCCGTACCGATGGCCACACAAGAAAAAGAAGAAAAGAAGTTCTGTGAACCTCACGAGGTGTTTAAGGATACTGCACGGTTCCTAGAATACCTTAGAATCGGGGTGCTACATCTGTTGAACAAGGTCTGGGTTAAATACAATATAGAGATCTGCTACGGCTGTCAAACAAATAATCCCAGTCAGAAAAACCATCCGTGTTTATACCCCTGTGACTGGTTCTACGAACTACACTTCGATCCGCTGATGAAAAGGCTCTGGAATGAGAACTTCATATCCGCCATCCTCCTGTTTATGGATATGAATGACCTTCAAGTCGATGCAGACCGCATCCAGGGGGGTGCGGAAGTACTTCTTGACGAGCTGAAATCTGGAGGCAATGTGGCTGAAAGTATCCAATAAATGTATGATACACTGATCGGGGAAGATGAACTCAAAATGAACAAACTGAAAAAGCTTGGCATGTTGTACCAAACCCGTATGAAGCATGGGAGGTACCCGATGATGATGATGATGATGATGCGACAGACATTGATGTGTAAAAACAATCAAACATGCTAAAAAAAAAAATGAAATCGAAAATGAAGTGAAGTTCTTGAGTGTTTTTATAACTGAAAATGTATTTTTGCTTTTGCAATGGGGCAAAATACTACTATACTATCAATCTGCTTGTCACATTTTGTACAAGAGAAATAAAATATGTTGTAACGAATGAACTGTCGGTCATTTATACTTTGGTATTATCATGGAAGGGACTCTACAGAAGATTTATTTAGATCCAGCCCATCCGGGAGGGTTAGGCAGTGTGTCTAAACTTCGCAATGCGGTTGGAGAATGTTACTTTAGAGAATGTTACTTTAACAGGACTTTTAAAACCCACATGTGGAGATATTTAACATCCGTTAATTCTTGAAGATATGTGGATGTAGTACAGGAGCTTGTCGAGGCCTATAATAACTCACACCACAGGTCCATAAAGATGCAGCCATCAACGGTCAATAAAGACAATGAGAAGACGGTCTTCATCCAACTGTACAAGTTGTACCCTCAGAAGCCAGTATGCTTTAAATTTAACAAGGGCGACACCGTGAGAATATCAAAACTCCGCGGTGGGTTTAGGAAGGGTTATAAACAAACATTCACCGATGAGCATTTTACAATATCAAGGTGTATAGCCAGAGATCCTCCGGTTTATAAACTAACTGATTGTGCAGGGGAATTGTTGAAAGGAGCGTTTTACGAACCGGAGTTACAAAAAGTAATTATAGGTAAAAACAAGGTGTTTAAAATAGAAAAAATTATGGATAGAAAAATCTCCAGAGGCAAGAAGCAGGTCTTCGTGAAATGGTTGGTGTGGCCCGAGAAGTTTAACTCCTGGGTCTCAGAAAAAGACATCACGGATGCTTGATAAAAGACACATGCCTGCATCTTGAGAGTTCACTCTTAAACCGTCCACCATAGGACACGGCACGATGACCCAGAATGGTTTTTATGTTACACTACCTAGTAACGCGTCGGCTCAGGTTTATCCTAAAAATCAGATATGGAACTACAGGACAAAATTAGCCAAGGCCATTGTTCTGAGCGAACCACATGAGGTGGGGTTGGTAGAATTCCAGTATCCGAGAGTGTGGTACAGTTTTCTGAAAACAGATGCGGTTGTAAAAGTGTACAATGGTAAAAACAGGGTTAAATCAGCCTTTACTATGGACATTGGGGTTTATGAGTCTATACAGGCTATTGTTAAAGCGTTTAATGAGCGAATCAGCATTAACACGCAGCTGGAGGGGGTATCTATGCATTATAGTAGTGTTAAAAACCGCGTATACTATCTGGGGTCAACAGAGGATTCAACTATAACCTTTGTAGGACGGCTCGCGACAATATTGGGTTTTAAAGATGGGGAGGCTTTTCCCCTACCGACTACTGACAGATCCTATACCACCCCCTATCCCGCCGATATACACGCAGGTTGTTACGCATTATACATATATAGCGATATTGTTGACTATCAATTAGTGGGGGACAGCCATGTACCGCTTCTAAGATGTATAAATGTGGCGGACGAACAACGGCGCATACCCACTCTGACTTACGACAGGCCGCAATACACATCTCTCTCCAAAAACGTTATTGATGATCTTGAGATATCCATAAAAAACGATCAGAATGGATACATAACCTTTTTATACGGAAAGGTCAAGGGAAGCTACATTTCAGACCTATAAAACAGCGTTTCTAAAAAGAAAAACAACAAGTGGAAGATGAGGAATAGCCACTACACACACAATGACGGCCGATATATGGCATATTCAGAGCTGCCAACTTTTCAAAAAACCTTGGAGTGAGATTTTGTCGGGGGTGACCAAAATTTTGCCGCGCACGTAGCCACACACGTTGGTGGCTCAAATATCAGGAAATTGGAATTCATTTGGCGTAGTACCCATGTTGTACCCTGCATTCTGGTGGTTTGTGGGGCCCAAAGTCGTTGATAGGGGCGGCCTACTGGAGATGGACAACATTGGTTACATTCTGTGAAGCAAAGACATAGCTGATGGTCCACCCCCAGGACATTTTGGTTTAAGTAGATGTTATTTCATGCATTCTCGTGGATTTTTGGGTGGTATGCCTGAACTTATTCTGATTTATGTTCATCTGCTCATGACTTGTTGGGCCTTCTAGACTTGAGCTGAACATTCAACCAGAAAACTATTGCTGTGCCTCAATGACTGTCTATGTACCACAATATAGCCTAATTAATAGACCTGTGTTTAAGATTAGATTAGCAGCAGTGCTGCTTGTTATGACAGCTGAGTTTACATTCACCACTCAAAATCACACGCACAAACACAACAAATAATTTCTTTCAAGATTTAAAGTTTAAGAGAGTGAGTACTTAATTGAACCACATGCCATTAACATACCTTAGTCTTTGCTCCTCCTGAGTTTCTCCCGCGGTTGTGTCTGTTTGAAAATCTTCTTCTGTTGCTAACTTCGGGACTCTTTGGGGTAAATAGGATGTCTATGCAGCGAATGGGTTTACAGATGCGCTCCTTAGCGCCATCTATTGTCGGGGAGTTTGAAAAGGAACGAACGCGCTTCGGCCCAAAATCAGATTTTTTTTTTTTGCCGTGAGAAATTGGTTGTGTGGCGTGAGTGCGTGTGAAAACATGCAAAAGCGTGTGTCACACGGCGAAACCGTGAGAGTTGGTAGGCCTGCATATTATGTGAACCAAGCCGGCGGAGAACTACCGGGAATTATAGGATCTCAGACACAATATGGCAATGGTTTGTGGGGTATATTTCGGGGGCTGCTCAGGATGGCCCTTCCTCTTTTAAAACGGGGATTCAGCCTGGCTAAACCACATTTGAAAACAGCCGCTACTAACATCATCGGAGACGTTGTATCAAATATAGCCAAAGGACAGTTCTCTGGGGCTCAACAACAACCAGAGCAGCAGCAGGGTCACGGCATGCTAATACACACCCGCAGGGCTTTGAAAAGACCCCCCAAAGGCAGGGGAGGTGCAGGGCCAGGGACCAAAAAAAGTAAAAGGGATGGTAGGAACAAGACGGGAGTCAAAAAGAAATCTGGCACAGCCCGAAGAGGTTCTCAGATAAAACGCACCCGGATTTTGGCTAAAGACATATTTTAGAGGTAGAAACTATGGCGCTCATCCATAATCAGTCGGCGGAGTGTGTCAAGTCTGAACTGGATCTCTTTACTGTTCCTTATACGCAAACGTCCATAGAGAAATATTCCTTCATCGAGATCCCGCCAGTCTCATCCATTACAGACAGAGGCCCTTTGGAGTTTCATATTTCGGCCAGCGGTGAAGATTACCTGGATCTGAACAACACCTTTCTGTATATGCGTGTAAAGATAACTAACGGGGCTGGTGGCTGGGGCAGCTGATGCTGATGTCGCTTCATAAATTACCCCGGATGTACCTTATTCTCCCAGGTTGATATCATGCTAGGGGATAGGCTCATTTCACAATCTTCAAACACCTACTCATACCGAGGCATAATCGAATGTTTGCTTAATTACGGGAAAGACACCCTGGAGACGCAGTTTAGTACTGCTCTGTTTAGTAAAGACACCGCGCAGCATATGGACGAGACGTCTATAGAAGGGGACAACGAGGGGCTGGCCGCGCGAGGAGGACACACCGTTGAAAGCCGTATAGTGGAGTTAATTGTACCAATACATGCCGATTTGTTTTTTCAAGAGAAGCTGTTGCTTAACGGCGTTGATATTTTCCTGAAATTTATACGGTCAAAAGACGAATTCTCTCTGATGGCGGCTGCAGCGGCTCAATACAAGGTCAAGATAGTCGCCGCTAGTGTATTTGTAAAAAAGGTCTCCGTAGCTCCGACGGTCCGACTGGCGCACAGCAGGGCTCTTCAACACACAAACGCCAAGTACGCCATCGACAGAGTAGCGCTGAAAACATTCTCCATTCCGGCGAGGACCCGAGTCTGCAACCAGGAGAATCTATTCATGGGACAGATCCCTAAATTTATTGTTTTAGGGTTTGTTGACAACGAAGGATACACGGGTAGTTATACACGGAATCCCTTTAATTTCCAACACTATGACACCGAGTTTTTAAGCATTTACGGTGATGGCCACGCATATCCAGCGAGACCGCTACAGCCACTCTTCCAGAGCGGCCAGTACGTGAGAGAATATTACCACATGATTCAAACAACAGGTCGACATTTAAAAGACAGATCGCTGGCTGTAACACGGAGTGACTTTGGTCACGGTTACTCGCTGTTCTGTTTTAATCTGGAGCCTGACGACGGGCAGTCGGGGAACGTGTCACTAATCAAGACGGGGAATGTGCGCCTGGAGGTCCGCTTCAGAACAGCCCTTCCTCGTACCATAAATATCATTTGTTATTCTGTTTTTGACTCCGTTATCGAGATATCAAACCAACGCCAAGTCTTGGTGGATAACTTTTAAACACCATGAACACCATAGAGCTGACGAGTATTGTTCGAAAACGGGTTTTTAGGGGGGTCGATTTTATGGGCGTGTTAGCGTGTGACCAGCTGCCTATGAAGGCTTTGCGCAAGTATCCGGTGATGACTATTGTAAATACGCACCCCTCCAGCAGCCCCGGGGAGCATTGGTTGGCGATTTATATCACAAAATACAAGCATAGCTATTTCTTTGACAGTTTTGTAAACCCTCCTGATTATGAACAGTTTCCAAAATAAATTGTTAATTTTCTCAATTATAACTGTACGGCTATGTCTTAGGAAACAGGTTCAAAATAATTTTATTACAGCCTGTGGTCAACATTGTGTGTTTTTTTCTATGTTATATACAAAAAGGCTGGTCTTATTTACGAGTTTTAAGTTTGTACGGACCTAATCTAGTCAATAATGATGCGATGGTCTGTCGTTTTGTTAACAAAATCCAACCCTCTGGGTGTTGTGAGGATGCTTTTACGTGTGTACAATGTGTGATCTAATGATAAACTATCCTGTGATACATTTTATGAATAAAATATATAAAGACAACTTTCAGCAGTGAACACCAATTTTATTTTTCCATCCACAAAGAACACACTAACAGATAATACACAAGAGTTACAAACACGTGTAGAAAGTTTTAAAAAATAATAATAATAATAATACACAACCATTACAAATATTGTGTCAGAAAAAAAAGGAAAAAAAAGTAATATGCATCCAGTA